GTGTAAACTTACCGCTTCCCTCCGCGACAAAAATAATCTGTATCGAAATTCTTGGTGGAATACTATCAAATCATTTATAGGCATTTCCAAAAAGTCAAATTCCATTCCTGCTTTATTATGTAACGGTATCCTGTACGTATCAGCTGGTGATAAAGCTAGGCTATTCAATGATTACTTCACAGCCCTGTATATGATACACACTCCCAAATTCCTCCCAACCAAATTCCTGATAATAAACTTAGTGATATTATTATAACTGAAACGGATGTTCAAGATGTCTTATTATCACTTGACACTTCAACAGCTACAGGACCTGACTTGTTGAACCCACGTTTACTTAAAGAAGGTGCCAACGAATTAGTCTTACCACTTTGTATTTTATTCAACTCTTCTTTACAACTTGGTATATTTCCTAATTCTTGGAAGATAGCCAATGTAATACCTGTACATAAAAAGAATGAAAAAAATGATGTTAAAAATTACCGTCCTATTTCTTTACTTAGTATCGTTGGCAAAGTGATGGAAAGGTGTATATTTAAATATGTACATAATTTTCTAAATGAATATAATTTGATAACAGATTGCCAGTCAGGATTTAGACCAGGGGATTCTACAATTAACCAGCTACTAAATAGAACTAAGGACTTGGGAAGGGCAATAGATTCTGGGAGGGAAGTACGTATTGTTTTTTGCGATATAAGCAAGGCTTTTGATCGTGTCTGGCACAAAGGTCTTATACATAAACTTGTCAATATTGGTTTAGATGGTAAAGTAATTTAATGGTTCAAAAACTACTTAACAGATAGAAAACAAAAAGTTATCATTAATGGTGCTGAGTCCTATTTGTCTGATATCACGGCGGGAGTTCCTCAAGGGTCAATTTTAGGGCCTCTTTTGTTTCTAATTTTTATTAACGATATACTCGCCGATATTGGGTCTATAATCAAGCTATTTGCTGATGATACGTCTGTATATGTTATTGTTGATTCACCTTTGTTGGCTGCTGAACGTCTGAATAATGACATGGAGAAAATTTATTTATGGTCCAAAGCTTGGCTTGTTGATTTTAACCCTCAAAAAACTGAATGTATGATTGTTTCTAGAAAAAGAGATCCCCTTAATCATCCTAACATTTACTTTGATAATACCCCCATAACAAATGTAAACTCTCATAGACACTTGGGTGTAACTCTATCTCGCGACTGTAGCTGGACTACTCACGTTGATATTATTATTGGTCAAGTAACATCTAAGCTTAATATGATACGGAAATTAAAATTTACTCTAGACAGGAAAAGTTTGCAGATTTTATATTTTACCTTTATTAGGCCTGTAATTGAATACGCTGATATTGTCTGGGATAATTCAAGCAACGAGTATGTAAATAAGCTGGAGAAAATAAATCAGGAGGCTGCCAGAATAATATGTGGGGCTACTAAATTAACTAATATAGATAAACTGTATATAGATACCGGGTGGGAAACACTAAGCGAAAGAAGGAGAAAACACAAATTAATCCAATTTTTTAAAATGTTTCATGGTAGAACGCCTGAATATCTGTCCTGTCTGGTACCTCCTAACATATCTGACACACATAATTATGGCACAAGACATGGTAACAATTCAATCGGTGTTAGATGTATGTCCGAATTCTATTGCCATTCCTTTTTACCCTCAGTGATTACACTTTGGAACAATATTCCTGAGGAAATTGGTAATAATCCCTCACTATTTTCATTCAAAAAGTATCTTAATATCAATTCCAGGGGACGTCCGCCTGAATATTATTATGCAGGGTTGAGACTAGACCAAATATACCATACTAGATTACGGCTTGGATGTAGTTCCTTAAAAGGTCACCTCTTTCGGAGAAACCTAGTTGATAGTCCCATGTGTGCATGTGGATACCCATTTGAAGATAGTTTCCATTTCCTGTTGCAGTGTGCCAATCACTCTGCCCCAAGACGAAGGTATTTAACCTCGTTGACTTACCATCTTAGTGTTGATTTACTTTTGTTTGGCGATCCACTTTTATCTTATGACCAAAATGTAGAAATATTCATAGCTACTCAAAAATTTATAAAATTGAGTGAAAGATTTAGAAATAGTACCTAGCATCCTATCAATCCAACCGGGGAAATTCATCAATTCATGTAATCATGTTTACAATATTTATATTATAAATTATGCACTCTTGCCTAATTTTATATACCCCCTTTTCTTTTCTCTTCTTCCATTTTCTCTTCCTTTAGTTGTAAACCTGTTCGTTTCATATTATAAACATTAGTTAAGTTACATTATAATCAATTCACTATATGCTGTCAGTGTAAGGGTTAACATGTAAAATTTAAATTGCTGTATTGATGAGACGGACTTAGATTAAGTACATTTGTACTTGTTTCCAAATCATCTTTATGTTTTGTATGTCACCAATATGTACATGTTTCACTTGCCAATACAAATAAAGTTTAAACTAATGTAAAATCTCGTCATTTAGAGTATGAATATCGACTTAAACCCAAATGTCTACTCATGCCAATCTGTCGTAGGTTTGTGTCCAGTTCAATGCTTCAAGTTATCCTCCAAGTATATTAAGGTGTTTTCTGTATAACTAAATCGCATGCCAGTTTACACCGGAAATAAAAATAACTAAATCGCATACCAGTATACGACGGAAATAAAAAGAACTAAATCGCATGCCAGTTTACACCGGAAATAAAAATAACTAAATCGCATACCAGTATACGACGGAAATAAAAATAACTAAATCGCATACCAGTATACGACGGAAATATAAGATCTAAATCACATACGAGTTTATACCGGAAATAAAAAACGTTTACACCGAAAATAAACAGAACTAAATCGCATACCAGTATACACCGGAAAAAAGCAACTAAATGGCATACCAGTATACATCGGAAAAAAACAACTAAATGGCATACCAGTATACAGTGGAAATTGAAAAAGTAACACAGGAAATAAAAAGAACTCAATCGCATGCCACTATATACTGAAAAAGAAAAAAAGTATACACCCGAAATAAAAAGAACTTAATCGCGCACCAGTATACACCGGAATAAAATGATCTGAAATAATAGCTCTGGTGTAGTAATACAAATGTTTCCTTTCTATAAACCCGATCTGTAATTCAACCTATGACTGTTTGTAAAAATATATCACTAAGGAATATACAGGAGAATTTGTTTTCAAACAATTTTTATTAATAATAATATAAATGTAAATGAAAGTTTAATATATCTTCTCCATTTCCAAGTAAATTCTTAAAGGAAACAGAGTTTTTTTTTCTACATACAATGTAGATGTTCACTGATGAAAACAATCTTCATAACATGTAAGGAATCATGATATATCTGAGAGTGTGGACAACTTGAAAAATATTTCGCCATGAGTGACAAATTTACCTTACACAGAGTTTTAGGTGTTCAACATAATATGTCAAACCCAGCTTTTACGCTTTACAGAACGTCATGCTTTAAAGTTTGAATAAATCGTAATCATAAACACCAAATGTCTATATAAGTCAGTGTAGGAAACGCAGCAAACTGATTTTTCTCAAGGAAGCGCAAACAGCATTTCGATAAACCAATATAACACTATGTGTATACATGAATAAATAAATGTAACCAAGCAAAACGTCAATGGCTAGTATTAACTATGCAGACGATGAATGTGTTTTAGCAGTCTGTGTAGTGTTTGAATTATTCATAACAAAAATAGGAAAACACCATTGAAACACACCTGCCATGAACATCACGGATGGTTTAGTCTGATTTAATAAGCAAAACCTTGACAAACAGACAGGAAGGACATCTCTAGCAAAGATATCCGTCCATTATTTCAATATGCAATACGTTTATTATTTTTATTTTATCAATTAGACCACGGATTGTCTTGAATAGAAGTCTACCATGTGTTTATACCTACATTATATATGTCAACAGCCACTCGGAAAAACATTTTCATAAATGGAAAAGTGGCAGAATTTTCGAGTCCATATATTGGGATATTTATATGAAAAATGCAGCAATATCTATACATAGATTGACACGGTAAGTTGAACTAGTTATTTGTTGGGTTTAAAGATACCCAGCTAAATAGACATGCACTGTGGCTGGATCCTGAAGAATAACCCAGGCAAGAGGTACAAAGAATGTTTTATATGGAATGTATAGAAAGTATACACACTTACTAGGTATTAGAAGGAAATTTATCATATAAACAGAGGGATACATACATGCTGGCTATCATTAAGGTATCTAAGATAGATTTATCACCAAATGGTTGCTAACGTTATGAGACAAACAGAATCATAACGTATGATTGAAACACCATTAAAAGAGCCTTTTCCGAATTTTCATTTTACCGAGCCTTTGGTGAAGTAAAAATTGAAGAAATTACTGATCTTTGTTTTAATTTTTTAATCTTATATGCAACGAAAATGATTATAGGACCTTCTATTTGGTTTTTGTTTACTGAATGCATATCATTCACACGCATGTTTGAACAAAAATGAAAATAACTGTATATATATTCAAGAGTTTTCTGTTTTCTCACATTGTCTTTGATAATTTGTTTCTCGTTAAGACAACACTACCTATTTCTTTAACAGTATCTTGTTCCATTTAAAGCAGGATTGTATGGTCCTAGATTCCATCTGTTTCTCCTCTTATTTGCTATTTCTCATCCTTGAAACCTTGATCACTGAAGATAGTGATAACAAAATTAAGGTTATTATTTTTTTTAAAAATATTTACTCTCCATAAAGCCATAAAATTTATTTTCATGTTTTGCTGATGTATGTAGAGGTAATTTTTTTTTAATGAAAATTATATGCCACAAGCTAAGCCAACCAAGTCAAACCAAGCCAAGCATAACGTATATATGTATATAACACTATGTATGTTACAGGATGTTAAAAGTGACACATTAATGTGTTGCTGAATATACAACTTTATCCAGGACGGTACGAAGTCATCATGGTTCTCACCAAACCTGACACAGGTTGGTCCTGGGTAGTCATGACAGCAACATTTTGTATTTTAACCATCCATGGTTTTCTTGTTTATGGGTCTGGCATGGTACAGATAGCTCTGTTCGAAAGATTTCATGATAGTGTGGCCAAAACTTCATTAGCAGGATCTTTGTTAACGGGATTCTTATCTTGTTCAGGTAAGTATGGTAACGACAAAAATCTGATTTATTGATTAAAAATCAATTTCCATTGGAATTTAATTAGGAAAACCTGATTACGCTTATTACGATATTAAAAGATAAAAAGGTTTTAATATTTGTTTTAAGTATTTCCATAGTTGATAAAAGGAGTTATACCGGGTTGCAATCAGAACACACCTTGTTGAAACCATACCAAATTTTCCTTGATTGAAATTGATGACGTCAAATCTGTTAGATAATGTATAGAACTTGTCATTCTTTTGCGAACGAAATACTAAGACGTTGCTTCCTTTGTTTTTTTTAGGTATTTTAGACGGGGTGTTAATCAGACGATACAGTTGTCGACAGGTTGCCGTCAGCGGTGGAATTCTAATGGTTATCGGAATTTTCCTCAGTGCCTTCATGACGTCATTGAGCTGGATAATATTTACCTTTGGTGTTGTTGCAGGTATCTATAACATATCAACTGTTTTCAGTCTGTCACCGGAAAAGTTAAAGCGTATCAAACAGACAAAATCATTGTATTATAAGCATGTCATTGCATTCAGAAATTGTTATATCTGTGTAGTTTAAACTGTACTTAATTTCCTTATTGAGTATTTGTAATGACGACTGAGACATGTGGCTAGGGACAAGATGACTGTGAAACACTTGTGCTCTCTTGGCTGGGTCTTTGGGTAAGATGCCTTACCACATATGCTATACATAGCATGAGATGGAGCTCTTGTTCCATGCATGTTGTTTAGCTTCTACAAGGAAGCATCGCCTCAGAATTGATTTTTCTGTTGGAGGTTCGATAAACCCAGTACTTCAACCTCCACCTTGATGCCTAGATCTTTCGGAAAAGTCGTGCACTCGTTTAACTTTGAAGGGTCGTCATCTTATGTTTACTTTTTTCATGTTTTTCTTCCAATTTTTCGATATCTTATTTAAAAGATACAGTTTAATTAAATGCTTATATTTCTATATATAACATTTGTACATCTGACGTATTAAAGATAGTAGAGGATATCACATTTTCGAAGGAAAGGAAGAATGCCCCAGTAGTACACTTCTTATCAAATAAGATTCACAAGATGTGCATTTTTGGAGAAGCACGTTAACCTTCCACAACATCATGTCTTATTTTCGTTTGTTTTTTCAGTGGTTTCCCCTCCCCCTCCCTTTATTTATTATTTGCTCTCTTTTGTCAGTTTTCAGAAAAGTGAAATGACTTACAAGCTAGTGTTTTGTTACTACTTTCCTAAATATTGGTGTCTCCGATATTGTTTTATATATTTTTGTGGCTTTTAATCAATTTCTTTTTGTTTTTCAGGTTTTGGAGCTGGTATACAATATACATCCATGTACATTACCATTGGTTACAATTTTAAACGAAATATCAACCTTGCATTAGGCTTCGCTTTATCGGGTTGTGGTATTGGAACTTTCGTCTTTACTCCAGTATTCGCGTATATTATGACTGTTTATTCATTAGAAGGAATTTTCATATGTTTAGCAGGTTTATCGTTGCAAAGTATTGTTTTCAGTGTAATGATATTTCCTTCTAGTCTAGAAATGAAACATAAATCAAATTCTACAAATACACGCAAAGGAACAAACAGTCAAGATACAACTTCGTTTTGTGTGAATATGATAAAATTATTTAAAACAAGATCTTTTGTAGTCTTACTAATTAGCTTATATATTGCAAATTTTGGAACCTATATAGTCTACATACACTTGGCTAACTATACCACACACAAGGGAAGCACAGAAATGGAGGCCGCTTTACTTCTGTCTATAATAGGGTTGTGCTCCTGTGTATCAAGGATATTGGCCGGACTTGCTTGTAATTCGGAAGTCATTGAGGAACCAACACTTTTGTTTGGAACTTTGGGAGTAACTGGAGTTTTCACAGTCCTGCTGCCTCTTTACAGTCATACACTTGCAGGACAGATCGTTTTTGCCGTTGCCTTTGGACTATACGCTGGATGCTTGTACTCCATAATGAATGGTATAACGTTAAGGTTTTTGTCATTAAGTGACCTCGGTAGCGCGGTGGGAATCGAACTCGCCGTTATAGGAGTTGGTATAATGACTGGTCCTCCTGCTGTAGGTAAGTATAACGCATTCCGTATGTAGAATTTTTGGTTGAACTAGAATTTTACTCGTTGAAGATTTCAGCGTGGGCAAATATTGACCGAGACTAAAATTCAGATAGAAAATTAATTGCAGTAAACTAAAAGCATGTGAAAGGAGGATTGTGGTATAGAGGTATTACGTAATTATAATGATGGACATTTGAATTATTTATGCCTTCTTTACTTTTTGTTCCTCGAAAGCTTCATCATTTCGAAATCTTTTCGTAAAATACTCTTCTGTACGTTTTGTTGTGATAGATATCATCCAGGATTTTTAAACTACATTCTATACGCAAAACAGTGTAACCACTTAAAATAGTTAACATATAACCATCCTTCAAAATATATCATATTTAACAGAAATAAAGTTAATTGGTGCAAATAAAACATCTCTAGGTGCATTGTAAATTGAAACCCAGAACAACTATTTTATTGAATTATTTCTATTCTCTTGAACAAGCACTGCTTACATTGTTAGAATTTGTATTTATCTACCCGCAAATAATAAACCAATTTATTTTTAATTAATTAATCTCATCTTTAAATATCTTTCAAAGAATTTAATTCATGTTTAAACAAAATATGGGTATAACAGGTTTGTTTCACACACGCAAATGTCCCATTTATGGACCGAAATCTCATTTCAGTCTTGCCATACTTTCGCTTTTGAAGAGGAAAACAGTAACATGTAGTTCTCTTCTTTTTGTATTTAATTTTATCAGTTTAACTTAGACGGTGACGAAACAAAAATCATTATATTTTCTTTTTGCAGGCTATATTATGGACTCGACAGGAAACTATGACATTGGCATTGTCATAGCAGGTAAGTTCCTCAGTTTTGTATATATAACAACTCTATGTAAAGATCTGTTTATGCATAATCCTGTCCAAAATTTCCACATAACTATTTACTTTATTAGAAAGATATCACATTGATTGAGCTTTTGAGTGTTTATATGAAGTCTCTCATTTCATTTCTATTCCCATACTTTTGAGAGAGTATAACTGGAAAAAGACCTAACTTGCTATACATCACAACCTTCACCTTGAGGTGATCAAATGCGAGGTCCTGGTTAGCCTGTGAAGTCAGTTTCTCGCGTGCCATCTTAGGGAAGGCATTCGGAAAAAACATGAATATACCTTATTCATTTTAACTGCTTTTGACCTATAACGATAACTGACATCAGTTCCTTGCATGACCGGGTTCTTCTTTACTGCCCTCTATGGTATGTTCTTTTTCATCGTTTGCACTACTAGATTTGCTATTTATTTTAATGTTCTTTTATGTTCGACCTACTTTATAGATTAAAGTACGAGGTTCGTCTTTGTCATGGTTGAGTGCTTACATTTTCCCGTCAGAGAAAACTTTAGTATAAGTAGATTGTGATTAGTACCTGTCATATCTTTCGTCAGGTATTCCATACACAATGCACAGTTAAGATTGGTTGGTATTTTTATTTACATTTGGATAATTATAGTAATCATGAATCACGTCTCGTTTGTTCAATTCTAGGTTTGTGCATAATAGCAGGAGCCATTTTGACACTGATAGCAGAACTTTGTAATAATAAGAAAAAGAAAAGAGACGAGACTAAATGTGATGGCGAGTTTACAATATCACTGACCGAGGATGTATTGGAGAAACTGAAGGAGGAATGTGAACAATGATCCACAAATGATGAGTCGTTCTCAAATGAGGAATCTGACAAAATGCTAGAGGTATTTCGGAAGTGAAGTTATACTTCATTTATCGACAAAGCTAGAGGTATCTCAGTAGTGAATTTATACTTCATATAACGACAAAGCTAGAGGTATCTCGGTAATGAATTTATACTTCATATAACGACAAAGCTAGAGGTATCTCGGCAGTGAATTTATACTTCATATATCGCCAAGCTAGAGGTATCGCGGTAGTGAATTTATACATCATACATCGACAAAGCTAGAGGTATCACGGAAGTGAAATTTTAAACATCATATATGGACAAAGCCAGAGGTATCTTGAAAGTGAATTTATACTTCATATATTGACAAAGTCAGAGGTATCTCGGTAGTGAATTTATACTTTATATAACGACAAAGCCAGAGGTATCTCGGTAGTGAACTTATACTTCATATATCGACAAACCTAGAGGTATCTCGGTAGTGAATTTATATTTCATAAATCGACAAAGCCAGAGGTGTCTCGGTAGTGAACTTATACTTAATATATCGACAAAGCCAGAGGTATCTCGGTAGTGAATTTATATTTCATATATCGACAAAGCTAGAGGTATCTCGGTAGTGAATTTATACTCCATATAACGACAAAGGTAGAGGTATCCCGGTAGTGAATGTATATTTCATAAATCGACAAAGCTAGAGGTATCTCGGTAGTGAATGTATATTTCATAAATCGACAAAGGTAGAGGTATCCCGGTAGTGAATGTATATTTCATAAATCGACAAAGCTAGAGGTATCTCGGTAGTGAATGTATATTTCATAAATCGACAAAGCTACTGTGTTTGTATTGTGTAAGTTATTCTGGCCAAAATACCTAAAATCAAATTATACAACGCATATGACATTAAACAAATCACTGTAATAGGGACACTAGGTTATAATACTGTTTACAAATAATTGTTTATCAAAGAAAAATATGTGTGACATGACTTACCAGCTAACTAAACAAACATTTTTATCATCCACAACAACTAACGATATATAATTATACTGTAATTAATTGAAATACCATATAAGGAAATGTTTTCACTGCGTTAAAAAGGTTATTTAGATGTCAAGCGCGGTTTTTTAATTGTATTTAATAAAATAAAATGTACGATTAGTTCAGAATGTTGTATATTACATTTTATTGGCATATAGATTGAAGAAAAGGTAATAACGCATAACGTCACATTTTAAAGTGAAAATAGAAATAAAACCAGACCTGTATGTTTGTTTTTATATAGCCTATTTTCTCATTGCGCTTTATTACTTTTGATATTAAAAACAAGGAGGAAAATCGGAGACTAGTTCAGAAAAAAAGTTGTGTATAAGATGAAAATTTCAAAATGTAATATTTACATAGAAAAGCAATTAATTGAAATTTAAATCTAAAGAAGATTCCTTTGACTTTACTAGTCCGGAGTAGTAACAGTCAGTTTTTTTTTCATCTGTATTAAACTGGTTGATTTCCGGGTCCGTATTGTGATCACAGCCATTCACTTTCCGGAGATGTTATTTCAACTGAAAAAAATGTTACCTAAATATGAGGTTTCGCTAGTGGTATCACAATCTCACTCCTCGTCATCAAAGTCATAGGCATTGAAAATCACAGAAAATCATATAAATCTATAACACCAATACAACAATATGACAAACATTATTTCCATGGATGATATTTTAACATAAAAACTGACTTTATGTTATCTATGTGGTACTATTGTAAATCGCGCAGGTGTCTACAACCATGCGCCCTTATACAGCTGCACACAAATCACCAGAAAAATGCCAATGGAACGTCAAAATAAGTGGACGAAATAGATTCCCAACCATTAAACATTGGAATATAAACTAAGTCATTCGCATCTTTCATCGGAAACAACAAATATTTTATAAGAATTTATTTCGCCCTACATTGCCAGTATACGACTGTACGTATGTATAAATGTTCTTGTTTTAAATAACGCGATATACACACTTAGGAGTTATTTCCCTTCACACGTAAATCGTACGAGAAACTTGTGGAGGGAAAACAACACCAAGAAAGTACCAACATGTCAACATAATCACCAATCCAAACTCAAATTCAATAACACTAGGTCAATACACGAACAAAAGAAAGAACAGAGAACATTATACCAGGTGTTTCAGAAGAGTAAGAGCCTTTTGCTTCTTGGTCAACCGAAGTAAATAACGTCACGTTCTCTAATGAGAACAAGGTATACAACGGAACCAAAAGGCAAACTAACGAACATTAAACACATCCAGCTTCATATCGCATAAAGAAATAGAATATTTCTCAATCAGATCACTATGGCGACCATATACTTCCCTGCAATTTTCATCAACCAGTTATTTTAAAACACTGTATTACGAATTTGTCCGTCAGTTGACGGAAATCAAGATCGTGGGTAGAGGCCCTTGAATATCGAATCAACTGTGACATGTAAACACCATAAGTTTGGGATGTAGGGATATTGATATCCAGAAATGGAAAATTCACAATAGGGAAATTGAAATCATCTTGATAATCATACAACTTGATAAAAACTGTCCATGTTTATTTTGGTGTAGGAAAAAATCAAGACAAGTAGCCGAAATGGAAGAGCTTGTAGTGTCTTTGACCTCCAAATCAGACGGGTTTATGCGATGGACGTGGTAAATGAATATTTTGGCATTTATATTTAAAGACAAGACGTCGTCAATATATCTGAAATTAAAACGAGGTCATAATGACCTGTTTTGATGAGTTCTTCAATATATCAAGCCTCGTATGAAAACAAAAACAAGACTTCCCACAGAGGGGTCCATACCCATAGGTATGTCAATTGTTGGTGAGAAGATCTTATCACCGAAGTCGACGAATATCATATCAACCAGAGATAATCACGTTCATGAGTTCGCCCTTTTTCAAGCGTGAAATACGTACTAATAATGAAATACAAACAAATATTCGAAGCATGGTTATCACCATATAATCTATATTGTGTATCAAATACATACATATGCATTACGACTTATTTGAATTGAATACAATTTTCCCCTTTAGAAAGATGACAGAACGGAATTTAAAGTGATATCTACATATAGCATCTCAGCTAAACGTAATATAAATAAATCAGCAGCGTAATGGAAATGTTAATAAATGCTTGGTGAAAAAACTTTCTTGTAAAGTGTTCAATGGTTTGTATTTGAATATACAGAGAAAGCTGAGTTGTGAGATAGGGGAAAAATTATCGCTTGTCTGCCTTCGTCTTTCAAGTGAACAAGCTGTTCACTGTCAGAGTGAAAAAATCTAAAAAATAATTTACGTTGGAAGCACTAAGTTCATAAAAAAGCGAGCTTCGTCTATTGGTGACCGTAGCATCTGGCATGAACGTTCTTCTGTCCTCAATTTCCAATTTTAAAATGATTTAACGATCACATACATTGATTCTGTTAGATTATGGAACTTTTTTTCATATCAGCTATCCATTAACAACTTTGAATCTTTAATTTTGATATCTTATCTTCATAGTCAGGTAAGGGGTAAAGGGTCACCTACCCGACCACGTGGGTTTTCCCCGGGTACTCCAGTTTCCTCTCTAAAAAAGGCTCTTCGTGCACTTACATTTGGGTCAACAAGAGTGGTTAATATCAACCGATAGAACTCTCACCGTTTTATCTTAAAGATAGATTATATTATTACATACAAAATGTCGCATGCATGTAGTACAGTACATTGTAGTAGAAAATATACTCCCTTCAGATTAATCATTAAATGTTTTATAATTTATAAAAAAAAGTTTTTTCTTAGTTTCGAACATGTCTGGCTTCTTTTCTCTATAAAGATGTAAATCCACGTATATTTAACCAACACACATGAACATAAGATTATGATATTATATTAGAATGATTCCTATTTTTGTCTCAAACAAGAACATATTAAATGTTTTTGGAAGAGACCGAGGTTGGAATTTTTTCAAACAAAAAATACATTTATAAATAAAACAGAACTAGTTCTTTCTTTAATCTTGAAAACTTTAATTCCTCCTGAAATCCGCCAGTTTACGGCTATCATTAGCAAGTCGTACTAATTCATAAGAGGAATTAGTCACATGGCTAACCCGATTAACGACATACACTAAATTAAAATATTTCATTCCCAACTCATTTGTGTATCAGGGTTCGTTTTGATAATCATACAACTTATGATATGACTGTGTACATAATCTATGGCCGACATGTATAATGATTGTGGCCAGTTTTATTAATCTATTGATATGTGACAAGCGTTTTTGGCATTAATACGCTTCAACAGAATGGCGTTATGTTTGAAGTATAGAACGTTCGACTTGGATTGAACGAAAATATGATATATGTAACAAGAATAGTGAGGTTTATACCTCAATAGTGACAAAGTTCGCCATATTGTAAACCAAACTGTGCGGTCAAATATATAAACAAAGATGGCTGACATTTTCATGTTGGAGTGATTTTAACGGATGTAAAATCTGTTTGACGCGGCCATATCTATGACGTCACGATGGAACTAAAATGGATAATTAAACTTTGAACACTTAGTGAACTCTGGAAAATGTCTCAAGAAAACCAGTAATTATGATATCACCTATGGAGAAAGCACCAGTCTCTAAACGAAACAGTCAACACGGAATACACCCAGAGAGAATACCTCCACAAGGTATACCTTCAAACGGGATAACTGCACATGGGTTACCGTCAAACGGGATAACTGCACATGGTCTACCCTCAAACGGGATAACTCCACATGGTCTACCCTCAAACGGGATAACTCCACATGGTCTACCCTCAAACAGGATAACTACACAAGGGATAACCCCGAATGGGATAACTCCACAAAGTACATGTATACACCCCAACGGGTTTACTCCAAATAGTATACCACCAAACGGGAAACCTCTTCATGGGCTACCACGACACGGGAAACCTCTACAAGGTTCAACGGAACGAGATGGATTTCCGGTCCTGAGAAAAAGAAACGGATCTGGAAATCGAACGAAGGAAAATGACAAAATAACACATCGGCACGTATTTCATACCAATGACTCAATTCCTACACTCCGAGAGGTTGATGAAAACAGACCGGAAACTCCTATCGTCAGAACACGACGGGAGCGTTATCAACTGGCAATGGAAGGCAAAACCGGAAATGGACGTCCAATAGTACCACGTGATACACAAGATGTATATTCCTCAAATGGGATGTATAAGAGAATGTTAGCTTCGACTCCTTCAAATCCAGTCCGATCTGGAAAAAGCGGTAGTAGGTGTCCAACCCCAGTTCCCTTTGATCAGCCACTAACAAGACTCTGCTGGGACAACGGAGGTAGGTTAAATTGAAATATTATCCCTTCGTTACTCTAAAGATGTCTATTCGATGTGTCCTTTGAGTAATCCCATATGTCTGTCAGGATTTTCATCCCTTTGCGCAACAGCACAGGTATTCCTGTCTACCTCAGGTCACCTCTCCCCTTTGTGTACTATGCCTACCTCAATTCACCTCTTTCCTCTGTGTACTATGCCTGCCTCAAGTCACCTCTCTCCTTTGTGTACAATGCTTACCTAAAGTCACCCCTCTCCTTTGTGTACTACGCCTACCTCAAGTCACCTCTCCCCTTTGTGTACTATACCTACCTCAAGTCACTTCTCCCCTTTGTGTACTATGCCTACTTCAAGTCACCTCTCCCCTTTGTGTACTATGCCTATCTAGAGTCCTCGCTCTCCTTTGTGTACTATGCCTACCTCAGGTCACCTATCCCCTTCCTGTACTATGCCTTCCTGAAATTACCTCTCAATTCTGTTAAATTTGTCTACTTCAGATTACCTCTCCCCTCTGTATACTATGCCTACCTCTAGTCACCTCTCTCCTTTGTGTACTACGCCTACCTCAAGTCACCTCTCCCCTTTGTGTACTATGCCTACCTCAAGTCACCTCTCCCTTCTGTTACCTATGTCTACTTCAGGTTACCTCACTCCTCTGTATACTATGCCTACCTCAAGTCACCTCTATATTTTGTGTACTATGCCTACCTCAAGTCACCTCTCCCCTTTGTGTACTATGCCTATCTAGAGTCCTCACTCTCCTTTGTGTACTATGCCTACCTCAAGTCACCTATCCCCTTCCTGTACTATGCCTTCCTCAAATCACCTCTCCCTTCTGTTACCTATGTCCACTTCAGGTTACCTCACTCCTCTTTGTACTATGCCTACCTCACGTCACCTCTCCTTTTTGTGTACTATGCCTACCTCAAGTCACCTCTTCCCTCTGTATACTATGTCTACCTCAGGTCACGTTTCCTCTATATATACTGTATCTACCTCAGGTCACCTCTCCTCTTTATATACTGTGACTACCTCAGGTCACATCTCCTCTTTATATACTGTGTCTTCCTCCAGTCACCTCTCCCCTTTGTGTACTATGCCTACCTCAAGTCACCTCTCCCCTTTGTGTATTATGCCTATCTCAAGTCACCTCTCTCCTTTGTGTACTATGCCTACCTCAAGTCACCTCTTCACTTCCTGTATTATGCCTACCTCAAATCATCTCTCCACTTTGTGCACTATGCCTACCTCAAGTCACTTCTCTCCTTTGTGTACTATGCCTACCTCAAGTCACCTCTTCACTTCCTGTACTATGCCTACCTCAAGTCACCTCACCTCTTTGTGTACTATGCCTACCTCAAGTCACCACTCTCCTTTGTGCACTATGCCTACCTCAAGTCACCTATCTCTTTCCTGTATTATGCCTACCTCAAGTCACCTCTCCCTTCTGTTAACTATGTCTACTTCAGGTTACATCTCCCCTCTGGGTACTATGCCTACCACAAGTCACCTCTTAATTTCCTGTACTATGCCTACCTCAAATCACCTCTCTCCTTTATGTAATATATCTACCTCAAGTCACCTCTCCCCTTTGTGTAATATGCCTATCTAGAGTCATCTATCCCCTTCCTGTACTATGCCTTCCTGAAATCACCTCTTCTTCTGTTAAATTTGTCTACTTCAGATTACCTCTCCACTCTGTATACTATTCCTACCTCTAGTCACCTCTCTCCTTTGTGTACTATGCCTACCTCAAGTCACCTCTCCCCTTTGTGTACTATGCCTACCTCAAGTCATATCTCCCCTTTGTGTACTATGCCTACCTCAAGTCACCTCTCCCCCTTGTGTACTATGCCTACCTCAAGTCACCTATCCCCTTCCTGTACTATGCCTTCCTCAAATCACATCTCCCTTCTGTTAACTTTGTCTACCTCAAGTCACCTCTCTCCTTTGTGTACTATGCCTACCTCAAGTCAACTCTCCCCTTTGTGTATTCTGCCTACCTCAAGTCACCTCTCCCCTTTGTGTACTATGCCTACCTCAAGTCACAAGTCATCTCTCTCCTTTGTGTACTATGCCTACCTGAAGTCACCTCTCTCCTTTGTGTACTATGCCTGCCTCAGGTCTTTATATACTGTGACAACCTCAGGTCACGTTTCCTCTCTAAATACTGTGACTAGCTCAGGTCACGTTTCCTCTCTATATACTGTGAATACCTCAGGTCTCCTCTCCTCTTTATATACTGTGATCAGTGTGTCTACCTCTTGTATCTCTGACTACCTCTCTTTATATACTGTGACTACCTCAGGTCACCTCTCCTCTTTAGATACTGTGTCTACCTTAGGTCACCTCTCCTCTTTAGATAGTGTGTCTACCTCTGGTCATCTCTCCTCTTTAGATAGTGTGTCTACCTCTGGTCACCTCTCCTCTTTAGATACTGTGTCTACCTTAGGTCACCTCTCCTCTTTAGATACTGTGTCTACCTTAGGTCACCTCTCCTCTTTAGATACTGTGACTATTACAGGTCACTTCTATCCTCAATATGTTGAGAATGCCTCAGATCATCTCCCCTCCATTTATCACTGACGATAACTAAAACTTATTGCCAATATCTATCCTCCAAACAGCTGTGAGCACTTTGTAATCGACTCAATGAAAACTGAAATGATGGAAGTAGATCTGTGACATAAAAGCTCAACTAATAACTCCATAAAAAAGAAAAGAAAAAACAAAATCAAAGTCTGTATTAAACAGACGGACTTCTACTCGGGCGTGGCATGTAGTTATCAGAAGTATATTTCTCGACATAGCGTCATTAATACATGGTGTCGCTATAGCGTCATATCATGGTATTAAGACAAGGGCATATTACGCGAGAAACAGATTTGTTAGAATGTCCTAAAAACTTCAATGAATTGTAAGAGATGTTTCCCTTCTCAAATTAATTGTTGGTGTGCGTTATTGTGCATAATATCCCGAAACTATTTCAACATGAACCACAATAAAAACACATGGAAAGCTAATGTGTGTGATTATAATGTCTAAGCCGATTAAAGTTTGCATTATATATGGTTACTCTTCGGTGTTGGTTTAAAAATTAAATCTTAAGACAGATTAGTCCCAAAAACGTGACTGTCAAAGTATGGTCAGATTCAACTAAGCTCTTATTAGAAATATATATGTATATAGATATATTGACCATAACAATTATAAATGCTGCGTAACGATGTGGCCAATATCATTCAATATATCAACTAGATACATTTAATGTAGCTTATTTTTTATATTTACAATTAGATAAATAAAGAGTAAAATCGATAGCCATGTTGATCGAACTAGGCAGTACCAAAATCTGACATAGATTTTTAAAACACAGTTTAACCAGGCGAAGTAGAGGTCAGCTACTGGAGATCGAGGTCTGGCACTCAGGCGTTTGACAAGGGAATGGAAATATCATTTCAATAAATTTGATTTTACCACTGTATCTACAATTATCATTGATCAATAACTTTGTAAATGTATGCCTTACCCAATCAGGCGATTCCCCACGTTAATTACAATGTACAATAAAAAAACGAAGTGTTACCCGTAAAAATAAAGATTTCTATATCTCGACGCATCCCAATTTATGTTCATGGCTTTACAGTTTATGTATATATCAAAACAATAATTATTCCCCGTTTTTGAAGAGTAAATGTTTTTTTTAATAATTCATGTTGATTTTAATCTTATTGAAACCAGATATATGTATACGATTTAATAAGATTAAGTTTCTACAAATGTTTCCCTTGTACAAAGCCTGTGTCGCGCCTATTGTTAGACGGCTGGACTGTTACTTAAATCGTAATTACTTTCCATATCCATTTGATGAATTAAAATTATAACTTACACCTGTTGACAGAATGGGCTTTACTTGAATTATGCTGCACGAAGTTTTCTGTGAGAAAAAAATCATGTAATTGTGAAACCGCTGCTTGAAGCAGGGATAATTTGTTTCTTCATGTCGGGCAAAAATGGCGGATTAGATGATGTCGAGAGATGCCCTACAGGAAAATTGCTTTTGGCACAAGTTATATGGAACGTCCTAGTTCCCCTACAAATTTAAGGCGGAGTGTTTCAAGGCATAATATTTCAAGACAAAGTGTTTCAAGAAAAACTGTACCACGACCCAATATCTCTAGACAGAACTCTACACGACCATCGGTGTCTCGACAAAATGTGTCCAGGAAAAGTAAACGTATGAGTGATTCTTAATGCATTCTATATATTGTATTTAGTGTATTACTAATTAAGTGTCTTCAATGCATTTCATACATCTTCATTGTTAACACTACAGCAGAATCGGTTCTGCTTTATATTGTCTTTCACATTGCTCTCTAGAAACATGTTCACGACTCTTTCTTATATAATATAATCGATAGCGTCTGCTGTGCTTGTTTATCATTCTATTTGTCTCCTTTATTGTTGTTAAAGCCGAGGTTGTAGGAAAACGAAATACTGATAAATAATATGATGTATCAGGTTTTGTTTAATAAGCTGAGTTTTCTAGTATCTTAATTAAACACACGTTTTAAATAGTTGTTTAGTTTACATATCGTCGATACGTGTATCAGCTTGCATAGTCAACTAAATTATACATTCTCGTACGTCTCCAACGGATTTACCTCATTCACAGTAAATAGTATGACGTATAGCTAGAATAACAAAATGATGATTTAAAAAACCAAGCTAACAAAAAACAAATACCACAACAACAATTACCAAACAAACAAACAAACAAACAAAATCAATCAAGCAAAACCAAAAACAGTTCTCTAAACACGGTCATGTTCGCCTTTCTTTCTAACAAAGCACGTCATCTTTGGGGTGTTTCAATCTACGTTTGGATTTCCCCCCCTTTTTTACCGATATAAAACACAAACAAACATGTCAGTCGTTCAAGAAATGAGAGTTTCTCTGTTTCTATATTGCAGGTAACAAGGACCTCGACACTGAGGACGAAGATGACAGCAACTACCCATACAACCCTTCAAAGATACCATTTACACCTCGGAATCAAGTCACTAATCCGCTCTTCCGAAATTTAAAGCATATAAATGACGTCACTGTGGCGGACATTGAGGACATCCACGATTTTGAGAAAAGCACCGAACATTTAAACTTGACTCAGAAAGTTCTCAATTCCTACTTTCGGAAGAAAATGGATTGTACACAGAGAATAGTGAAGTGGTTGGTGGATTGTGAGGAAAAATCAAACACGTCTTCACTTCCGGCTCATTTACCAAATATATTATATAGAAACACTAGTGCACATGCTCGCCATGAATGAAACGTAAGCGTTTGTGTGATATGATTGATGCCTGTAATGGTGCGCGCGTGCTTGCATTTTACATGTGTTGCAAACAATACCAATTCAAACAATATGTTTTTGTTTTGTTAAATATCACACGATAAAATCATAAATATTGGTTTGATAAATGCATGATGTACATTGAAAAAATGACCCATAACTGTTCTTACAAAGCTTGATTCTTTTTGCTGGTGTTTTCATTGCTTCATAAAAGCATGCTTATGACCGCGGACTGTTTCGTAAAAAACTTGATACCCCCCTCCCCCTTTTTTTCATGTAGAAGTATGGCTATCATTTTATGCTTGTGGATAACACAAGTGTGATCTCATAGAAATGTCGTAGTGCAAAGTGTACTTCTGTATACGATTCACACGCGTACGACTTCTTGTTGAAAGATAAATATGTACCTTTGTATCATCAAACGGTTATACTATTTTTAGGGGCCGCGATTGCTTATGGCTTAAGATGTCTGACCTTCTTTGTCACTTGCCCTCCACCTCTGGGTCGTGGGCGTGAGGCCTATATGGAGCAGATACCAGATTACTGGCCGAAGGTGCGGGATCTCCGGCTTTCCTCCACCCAAATCTGGCACGTCCTTAAATGGTCATGTCTATTTATAGAATATCGACATATCTACTGTACCTTGATATCAATTAGACATTCGGCTTGTAAACTATGATGGTTTGAAATATCCTGGGCCTTTTAAATGTCAACATCTTAAGTGACTCTTACAGTTACAAGACACCTGCCTTCCACCAAAGGAAATAACTTACTTTTTAATATTTACACACATCTTACTGGTGATTTGTATCCGTTGAATTATCTGTTAATAATTAAAATTAAATCTCTATTCATTAATAAGTAAATTATTTGTTTGCGTTTTGTTATATGCATCAACATATTGTTTAAAATGTCCAGTGTCACATTGAAGCATAATCAGCTGGAAAGAGCTGTATCTGTTATAAAGAAAATTACACAGAAGAGGTCAATACTCGTTGTTGTTGTCATGTGATATTTCTTCGCGTCTTCGAAAAACAATCTAAGTACAAAGCAAATTGACAAAACCTCGACAAAGAGAAAAAACTGAAACCTCGACAAGCTCAAAAGGAGATATCAATAGAGAACCTACCAAAGCGACATAACCCACAGTCCAGCATAGTGCCTGATGATAGGTGACAGTTCGTACCGATACAACTGGTAATGATGTAATATTTGGCGGGATTCTGTGTACGCCCAAGTGCCTCTCGATACCAATATCCCGAATCTCTCCGATTTCGATCACATCTCCAAACCTACAGAATTGTTGGAGAGTGATTTCTAACTATTGAACCTAAAGAGTAATTTGTCACGTCTGAACCAACAGAGATCATTGACGAGTAATTTGTCACGTGTGAACCAACAGGGATCATTGACGAGTAATTTGTCACGTGTGAACCAACAGAGATCATTGACGAGTAATTTGTCACGTGTGAACCAACAGGGATCATTGTCGAGTAATTTGTCACGTGTGAACCAACAGAGATCATTGACGAGTAATTTGTCACGTGTGAACCAACAGAGATCATTGACGAGTAATTTGTCACGTGTGAACCAGCAGAGATCATTGACGAGTAATTTGTTACGTCTGAACTAACAGAGATCATTGTCGAGTAATTTCTAACGTGTCCGGACCTAAAGAGACTGTTGAAGAGTAATTTGTCAAGTCTGAACCAACTGAGATTAAAGGTTAGTACTTTCTATTGTCTCTGAACCTAGAGACTCCATTGGTGTGTCATGTATCGCGTCTCTGAACTAACAGAGATAAATGGCTAGTACTTTCTAATGTCTCTGAACCAACAGAGGTTAATGGCTAGTACTTTCTATTGTCTCTGAACCTAGAGACTCCATTGGTGTGTCATGTATCGCGTCTCTGAACTAACAAAGATAAATGGCTTGTACTTTCTAATGTCTCTGAACCAACAGAGGTTAATGGCCAATACGTCTCTGAACCTACAGACCCCATTGGTGAGTATTTACGCACGAACGTACAATGACTATTTGCGAGCAATATCTAACATCGCTGAACCGACAGACCTCCTTGTTGAGAATTTTTGCACATCTCTTAAATTACAGACTATTTGCGATTGATTTCGCACGTCTATGAACCTACATTGGGGCAGAGATAATGTTGCACGTTTCAAGATTCCGAACACATTGAAACCATTCGCATCTAAGTTTGCACGTCGTTGAACCCAACAAGATAAATTTTTCATTATTTGTGTCTCTGAACCAACCTTACGTTTCACGTTTCCGAAACTATATAGCGACAATTGGTAACTATCACGTCCCTGAGTGATTTCTGCATGCACTTTTTCTCAATTCACAGTGACCATTGCTGTGTATTTGCCAACACCCACGGTCCTACATATATCATGAGCGAAATTTTGATGAGGATTCTGGACCTATATATAGGGATAAGTGACGAGTAATTTTCTGAAGTCTTTGAACTTAAAATGACCATCTACAGATAGTATTTGACGTCTCTAGACTTTTGATGTTCCCTGACCCACAAAGACAATTAAAGAGTAATTTGATTATGCTCGGAACTAAAATTATCATGCACGCGTCCCTTGATTCGAAAGGTGAAATCAAGAGTAATTTATTTTCGGACGTCCCCGAACTGGCAAAATGACCAAGCACACATCCCATGTCCTACTATTAAAGAGTAATTTTTGACGTCCCAGAATCTTTCTAGCCATGTTTCAAATAAAAAAGAAGTAAATTGTAACCAATGTCTATTTGTATCAAAATCAATATATAGAATATATCACAATACGTGTAACTGGTCATACACAAACTTATTTTTCATAATAAGTTTTTTTTAAAGTTCTCTATTAATTGATCATGACGATAAAGCTTTTGTAAAAGGGGTATTACGATTATCGATTTGTTTTCAAATAATAAAAAGAGGTTTTCTCAGTTTAAAATCTTTTCAACTGTCTCCAAACTAATCCTCTGAGATAATGAAAACGTACTTTTCAGCACCTCTCCTCTGCCATGCAAGTTTGTTATTAATTGATTTAAAATCTTTTGCTGGCTGAGTTTTACGATAATTAATTTGGTCTGACAATCATATCGATAATAAATTGGAAGTGATTATATCCATGATAAATATTGATTGATCAAGATATAGGAGGACATCCTGATGACCTCATGCCCCGCGAACCTTAAACTCATAAACAGAGGCGAACGATTACCTGCTGATAAGGATCAAACCTAACACCAATTTATAGAGAAACATTAATCAAATAGAAAATCGCCTTCGATCAATCAATACGAAACACTATCAGCTTCGTTCGTGTTAGCGCTTTTCGTACATCGTCTCAAAAAAATTGTGTGAATTCAAAATGAGTTCTTAAGAAGAAAATGAGGAGAAACAATGACACATTATGAAAATGTCATTCATTTTACGATATAAAAAATGTTTCAATTGTTTGCTTGCAAACCTTGTTAAGCTTGATATGCGGTCAGCACTTGTGTCTCCCTTATTGACATACAATGGACAGTAAATCTGAGTTCATCCTTGCTTGACTATGTACTTGTGTCATATAGACTTAGGGCCCGACATGACAAGGCGTTTTATGAAGTCTATTCTTAGCTCCATCCGAGACAAAACATAGCCGATCTTAAGGGAAATTATCCATTTAGACATTGATAAGACAGCGGAGACTTGGTAATATATACGTCTTACATAGGCTAATACACTGTAGCGTGTAATTATATGTTGTTTAGACAATAGACGGCTTTGCGTAATTCTGAAATTTATAGTCAACTCATTGTTGTTTTGTAGTGGTGAGGTACTTGTACGCGTGAATGATTACAGTCAGCACGAGGGTTGATGATAGATGAATTGGAATTAAGATAATACATACTTTAATGTAGTGACTTGCATGATAAGTGTCAATGAATATCATTACATTACTCGTGTACTGACCTCCAATTGTCAAAATTAGGACTTTAGCAAGTCTAATGGAATTCTTAATTTGCCCAATTAATGACGGATGTTTTTATGAAGGAATACACAGTCGATTCAAATCCCTGTGATTGCAAATTTTTGAAGAATATGAACGTCTGCAATACATGTTTAGTCAACCCTTCAACGTTTACAGAAAAACTGACCAGAGAATAGAGTAATCTATAGCAAGATGACACCTCTGTAATAAACACTACCATCCGGGGACAGTGTAAGGTGGGGTATCCTTCAGGAGACCTCTGTTTGATTGACGGAACGTTATGCAAAAGATCCGTATTATTTAGAGCAAATTGGGTAATGTCTCATCACCACGGCAACAAAGGACGATTTTTGTCTCGGCTTTCTTGCTTGGGGATACAGCCATATCACGGATCTTTGTCCGAGTTTGAAATATCCACTGCAGTACTGACTGAGCCGTCATGCCTTTTGTGGTGTTAGAACGTACCGCACGTTACGACAGTAAAAGAGTTTGTCTTAGAGAGTTGAGTAACTTGTCACTGCAGTGATCATGACGTACAGAAATATTGTCGTGTTGCCATGCTATTTCGGATTTTTCAATGCTGGTCTTTGTGAATTTGCCATGGAATTTGTAGGAATGTGATATGACTTCAATTTTTTTTAACGCGGTTTTATGGTAATGCGCAATATTTATCTATTTATAAATAATAATGTATGCTTTTTTTTACCTGCTTCAAACAATTAATGGTTTTCGAAGACTATTTGGTATAGCATTGTTAAAGTACACGTATGTAGTATGTTGTTCGTATGTTGTTTGTATGTCCATTGAACAGTTATGATCACCTTAATGCAAAATTTCATTGTCGTACATGCAGTCTAATTCACTTAAGATTATGAGTCTGCTGGTGGCTATTTCACTTAACATTATGAGTGAGCTGGTGACTAATTCATTTAACATTGTGATTAAGCTGGTGGCTATTTCACTTTACATTATGAGTGCGCTGGTGACTAATTCATTTTTCAACATTGTGAGTAAGCTGGTGGCTATTTCACTTTATATTATGAGTGAGTCTGACCATGGTGTCCTCACCAGGGATACGCTATTGGTGGCCCTCAAGTTCTCATGTGTTTTCGGCTGTATGGAATTTAAAACTTTCGGTAACTTAGCACCTCCAATCACAACTGTTGTCAATTACTCACTAAATGTCCTTATCTGAGCCAAATTGACCGCGACCAATTTTTGTCAAGCTGACATGATGTTTACTTTTGTAGCTCCAACACCTTGTTACGTTGTCACAAGTTGTTTTTCCTGCTAGAAGTAGTAGCTTTATCGGGAAATAAAAAGCAAAAATTGGAAATAGCTGTAATGTTTGCAAACGGCTTCCATGAAATATGATTCATATTATATAAAAAAATATCGCTAGTAACCTGCTTAAACAGACTGCGCAAACAAATGACACATCCTTGAGTAACTTAGTTAACAACAGAAACATAAAATCGTAATTAAGCAGTAACTCGTTTGTGTATTGCATTCACACTCTGTATATGTACAGTATACAACAGTGTTCTTGAGAACCACTACTCGCACTCGATGGCTGCCAAAGTGGATCGGAAAACTTTAAAAGCTATATTTGTGTTTGACCAACACACCAATTACACACGTTTCCTGTTCTGTAATCTTCAATAATGTTTGAGATGATCAAATTTGCATCAAAATTCAAACGGAAACATGAAAACGATACCAATTGGAGTGTTGAATTAATGCTCCTGTAACACTAGTATTGGCCGAAATTCCGGAAAGCGTATAAGGTTTTGTTGACATTATCGTTTTAGCGTTGTTTGGCAATTATTTACTTTGCTCCTCTCACTTATGTCCAGGATTCCCGTATCAGTTTCTCTGGACCAATATTTAAATAGAACCGAGGGATCCGTTCAGACGCCACATGTAGGGATGTCCGTTCGCAGATGATTAGCAGGTTACTTCGTCAGCAGTGTGTTGTGTGATGTTGTTCTCTGTTCTGTAGGAATTTCCATCGTTCTGTTGTTTTCATTCTGTGCATGAAAAACGGATAACGTATCATTTTTGTATGGAGACTGATCCAGGACAGAACATAGACAAACGTAAATAATTCTGTGAAGTTAACACGCATCTTAACACGTGAAATAATAATTTTTGGAAGTATTTTCGACAATATCAGTGAATTTATATTTCCGGAAGAACTTGTGATATATGTAAGCCAGACGAATCTTAGTTCCGACTCAATTATGTAAAACAATTGTGCATGATACTCATGATACGTGACCATTTCTACGAGTGAGAAGTCGTTTTCCTATAACTTCAAAAAAAGACTTCATGGGAAAATAACAGTAACGTTTTAGCGATGTTTCTGTACACCTTTTGTGCACATGACGAAGTTTGTGTCGCCTCATATCTCTCGTTTTAATGTATACACTAAAACATTTGTGAAATATACACTTGGTGTAATTTTCTGTTTGCTCTGAAATTCGAAGTGCTGTTTTTCATGTTGGAAAATATACAACAACTTAGCAACTGGAACACCAGTAATTCTATCCGAACTCACAACAAAATAAATCGTGCCGTGAAACAAAGAAATGTCTTGCGGCAAATGATAACGTATATTGCCAAAAACTCTGAATGCAGTATGGACATGGAGATAGAAGACTAGAGTGTGAATGTAAAGACATGGCTAAAAGCAACGTCATATGAACTATCAAACATGCCATTTATTTTAGTAGATGTAAAATAGGAAAAGAAAGACGAGCTCCAAAACTTCTCTGTCTCAACAAATCGACATTGCAGCGGGAAGTTGACTCAGTCAGGAAGACAATTAACGTATGTAGTGATTGGTTTTCAAATTTAGATCCTTAAAAACTCTACTCTTCAATCATCACTTAAACAAGGAATCTTGAAAGTACGAAGCCATGTTTACATTGGTGATCGTTTAATCATGAATGGAACAACAACTGCAAGCATTGACCTTATTCCACTGGAAATATCTCCATATGGGGTTTACATTCCGGACTACTTCAATATGGACTATGCACTTCCGGTTTACGGTTACATCACACCTGCACTTTCTATCGTTGTCACGGTAACCAATATCCTTTTCGTCACCGTTTTTGTCAGGAGCGGTATGAAGTCGCCCACTCACATCTTACTACGGTTTATGGCGATATCAGACACATTGACCGTGGTCATCCCAACCCCTTGTTTTATCTACATCTATCTCCTCAGGAATTATGAGGAGTTCTTAGTCTATGACCTTTGTAAGGTTTGGGATCTTTTCACAAACTTTATCCCTGCAATCACTCATGCAGCGTCTATATGGCTGACTGTTGTTTTGGCATTTCAGAGATTTTTATGCGTGTGTTTCCCATTAAATGTTAAAATCTGGTTCAATGCGAAAAGAACATATATCACCATTGCAGCAACATATGTTCTCGCGATATGTTCTAACATCTCGCGATTTCTCGAAAAGGATGTAATTCCTGTAAAGTTAATCTCGAAATTAAAACCAGGAACAATAATGGAGGGATGTGTTTATAAGTATAACGACTGGATGATTGAATCCGGTATAGATTATCTCAAAATCTACTATTGGCTAAGGGCATTGCTTGTTCAGCTAGCGCCGTGCATCACTATGGCAATATTTAATGGAGTCGTACTGTATAAAATTAAAGTTGCTGAAAGACGGAGGATGACCTTAAGATCTGGAATGACGACCATGCGAAGAACTTCCGTTCAAGAATCACGTGAGAGTCGAGTGACAACGCTGTTGGTCTGTTTCATCGTCTTGAGTGTTCTGATTGTAGAAATACCAGTGGCTATATTTCTAATACTCTACGCATGTGCATTGTCGCTTGAAGTAACTATCATTCCCAATGATCAGATTGAACCACTAAGCATTATGTCGAATTTGTTAGTACTAGCGTCATATCCGCTTCATTTTGCTTTGTACTCGTGCATGAGCACTCACTTCCGTTCAACCTTGTGCAAGCTACTAAGACCACGATGCTTATCGACAAAGGGTAAATTTGAAGTTAAAGACGGTCGCAATCGAAACGTCTCTGAGAATGAATCCATTGATACTCACATGTAGATAACGCTTATGATTATGTAAAGATTCTTTATACACAACCAGGAATTTTAATATGTGACGTTTCGGTGACCAGTACGATCCGTACGCTGTCACCTTCCTCAGACAAATGACCAGTAAAGCATGTACACAAATGTGTGATATGTGTACGAGTTGTCGTGGAATAGCGTCGATTTCGGACATGCTGAAAAGTGCCGAAATGACTGTTAGCGAATAGTAAAACCATTCGGCTACGCTTATTTTATTACTTGGTCATAGATGTGCGAGAGTCTATGAGCCCCCTCATCTCGGTTCAGAACTGCCCCGCTGCGGCGTATCCAGATGGCTTCTTTGATCTGTCGCTTCAGAAGATGGTTCTCCCTTTCGAGCACCTTTGAGTTTTCCCAGTCAATCACATGGTTTTCCTGCATGGCATGGTCAGTGATTGCCGATTTGTTTATCTGGGACTCCGACTGCTTTCTCTCTGATCGGGTGAACTTCTTTTCCTCTTGGCTTTCGGTGTCTTTCCGGTGCTCCCCAAGGCGAACCCCGAATCGCCTTCCAGTCTCTCCAATATATGACGCGTCACAGTTTTTGCACCCGATCTTGTATATGCATTCTGCGACATTCTCTTTGGTTATCTTATCCTTAGGGTGGACTAGGATATTTCGAAGCGTCTTGTGGGGCTTCATGGCTGTTGCTATGCCATGGTTGCGGTATATCCTTTGGAGTGTTTCAGATATACCCTTTATATATGGAAACGTCACATATTAAAATTCCTGGTTGTGTATAAAGAATCTTTACATAATCCTTACTTTCCAACCTGACGAAAATGTTCAGTATTAGATAACGCTTATGGTTTGACAGGGAAGTAGACAAGGCGTATTATATCCTTATAGAATTAAACATGGAGACAAAAAACAAGAATTTCTAACATCATGCTACTGTACATTAGGACTGTGTTTACATTCGAACTTCAATCTAAGTGTAAGTGACTTTGCGCCTTTCTGGATGGAAGTGTGCTGCTGGAAATTCCGGAGATGCCAGAAGCTACTCTGCTAAGACATGATAAATTTGTATGTAAATATTATTCGATGTGTTCGCTGCCAGCTTTTTCACTATATTCACATTGCTGTTGCCATGTTTCCTTAATTTTGAACTACTCGATCTTCATAAGTGATTTGTATATAGTGATGGCTTATTTTGTGCTATTTGGTCGCGTTGTGATATTATCTTTCTTGTATTCAAGAAATGTTTTCGTACTGTATTCCTAAATGACGTAGCTCATTCCGAAATAAATCTCAGTTATAAACCTGTTAAGTGATCATTTCAAATGACAATAACAGCCTAGTTACAAAAAGAGTTGTTTTCAACTGCGGTCAAAATCAGGGACGATCGCATTCACGGCTATAAATGTAGCGCCATGCTGCCGATCATATAAATGACCGTAGCTCCATGGCCCCCTATTCCTCAAAGCTTGGTTAGAGTTAACCAAATAGATATTGGAAAATATCAATCTTTCAAAATTGGAAACATTCTTCATTATTTCACATGTGTAGATTTGCTGAGGCAGGTCAGATTGTCATATTTTGAGTGTTATTTTCGCTTTGAAAGTCCTTGGTTTTTCAGTGGCACCAAATCAAAATTTCCATTAACTACTGTTAACTCTAACAACGCTACCAGTGTAAATTGTCCAATGGAAAACGTATACATGTAGATTTTATTCCAAGGAAAAGATATTAATTTCAATTGTTGTAAGTACGTTACCGCTTCGTGGCGTCAGAGACTATATTAGACAAAGGATGTTCCTGCTTTAGTTTCAATTTCACATAAGATTGGCTACATGCGTCACGAATTTAATCTTAGATAGTTGATATGAAAAATTCTCAGACGTCTCCACTTTCTTGCAGACTAAGTACACTATGTACGAAACTTAGGAAATCGGAAGTACCAACATCGTAAATATTACGTTGGAATAGTGGGAAATTTCTTAATAACCCAGGCTTATACGATTTAAAGGCAACTTGGAATCTTAGTGTTCTCATATTGAAAGTAAAAAATAGGGTGGCCTGTTTAACAAAGAATGTCTATGGTTTGTATGTGTACATTGTGAATCTATATGCACGTCCTATTTCTTCCTATCTTTTATTATGACGGCGGTATAATGAAACATATTTCACTTTCATTTTTTTGTATTCTCTATATGGTCTTACTAACATAATTCATATTTACCGCGGTCTACCGCGGAGGATTACAGATAGATCAGGTCTGTGCACACATCCACATACTTGACCAAACACATTTTGTGGAATTGTCTTGTGTAAACCAAAGCAATTCAAAACAATATAATTGAAATGAAAATATTTCAAATATCTCGCAAAAATAAAAAATGATCTTATTTTAGAACTCTTTTCTGTTCTCTTCTTGTACGTGACAACTTTTCCCGCCAACGGTCGGACTGTTTCGTCGGTGCGAATTTTTTTTAATCGCGTAAAGAAAACAAATAATCAAAATATGAATATAATATATATGTTTTTTTTTATTTTTGTTTTGTTTTTGTATCATTACCTGTAGATCTGTTACTTAGTGCGTGTAACCTCCACTGAACGACGTTTATTGGGCATACATAATAATAATAATAATAAAGATAATTTCAAATTGCCGACTAAAGATTTTTGTTGTTGCTTATTGTTATCGTTCTAATTATTGGTGTGTATTTTGAAGATAAAACATTGATGTGAAGTGTCCAAAATGTGAATATTGTATTGCATTGCTCTCTACCATCCTGTAGTATTTATATCATCATTTACGAAAATCTATTATTAAAATATACACCCGCTCAAAAGTTAAGCACCGCCAGATTTTTTGGACAGGGTTGAAAAGACCATAACTGAGAATCAATAGTTTCTGCACAAATACCGTTGAAAATGTGAATTCTGTATTTGTACGACTGTAAACTCGTAATCCAGATTATAAATGACGACATGGATTCAATATTTGATATTTTATCAGCAGTAATTTAAAATTGAAACTTTTCATCAAATTTAGTAACCAAAATATGTTTTCATGTTAACGAAAACCAGTCAACTTTTTATCATCAAAAAAGTGATGCAATAATTTGTGATACATCTCTCTTTGTTAACACAAATATTTGTTAGTATCGGGTGTAACCGCCCCTTGCACGGATGCAAGTTTCAACACGTCTCCTCATACTGGTGATGAGTCTTCTGATTTGCATTTGGGGGATGTTGTCCCATTCCTCCCGAACAGCCTGTGCAAGTTCTGCCAGATTTTGCACACCAGGGACTCGTGCTCGCACCCAGCGGCCTAAAATATTTCATTTGTTTTCATTTATGTTTCATTATTTCATGAATTAGGATCTAGTTATCACATTCATGAAAGATGCGACTCCTGGCTCTCCCACAGAAAACATAGGACATGTATTTACAAAGCTTTTGAGAGAGAAATTTGCATTTTTAATGATCTCGGTAAATGTAAAAACTATATATGAAATGAACATGAATAACGCATATAACAAATAGTGTCCCAGTAGGTACATGTACATTATTGTATATATATGTACAAGTCAATCTAAATCCCACAATGTAAAAACTGGTCACATTAGTATCCACACATCCTTTGTATCCACACATCTTATGTATCCACACACATCCATTGTACCCACACATCCTTTGTATCCACACATCCATTGTATCCATACACATCCATTGTATCCACGCATCCATTGTATCCACACATCCATTGTACCCACACATCCACACATCCATTGTATCCACACATCCATTGTATCCACACATCCTTTGTATCCACACATCCATTGTACCCACACATCCATTGTATCCACACACATCCATTGTATCCACACATCCATTGTATCCACACATCCTTTGTATCCACACACATCCATTGTATCCATACATCCTTTGTATCCACACATCCATTGTATCCACACATCCTTTGTATCCACACACATCCATTGTATCCATACATCCTTTGTATCCACACATCCATTGTATCCACACATCCTCTGTATCCACACATCCATTGTATCCATACATCCTTTGTATCCACACATCCATTGTATCCACACACATCCATTGTATCCACACACATCCATTGTATCCATACCTCCATTGTATCCACACGCATCCATTGTATCCACACACATCCTTTGTATCCACACACATCCATGGTTTCCACACATCCATTGTATCCACACATTCATTGTATCCACACACATCCATTGTATCCACACACATCCTTTGTATCCACACACATCCATGGTATCCACACATCCATTGTATCCACACATCCTTTGTATCCACACATCCATTGTACCCACACATCCATTGTATCCACACACATCCATTGTATCCACACATCCATTGTATCCACACATCCTTTGTATCCACACACATCCATGGTATCCACACATCCATTGTATCCACACATTCTTTGTTTCCACACATATCCTTTGTATCCACACATCCTTTGTATCCACACATCCATTGTATCCACACACATCCATTGTATCCACACACATCCATTGTATCCATACCTCCATGGTATCCACACACATCCATTGTATCCACACATCCATTGTATCCACACGCATCCATTGTATCCACACACATCCTTTGTATCCACACACATCCATGGTTTCCACACATCCATTGTATCCACACATTCATTGTATCCACACGCATCCATTGTATCCACACACATCCTTTGTATCCACACACATCCATGGTTTCCACACATCCATTGTATCCACACACATCCATTGTATCCACACACATCCTTTGTATCCACACACATCCATGGTATCCACACATCCTTTGTATCCACACATTCTTTGTATCCACACGCATTCTTTGTATCCACACATCCATTGTACCCACACATCCTTTGTATCCACACACATCCATTGTATCCACACATCCATTGTATCCGCACACATCCATTGTATCCGCACATCCATTGTATCCACACACATCCATTGTATCCACACACATCCTTTGTATCCACACATCCATTGTATCCACACACATCCATTGTATCCACACATCCATTGTATCCACACACATCCATTGTATCCACACACACCCATTGTATCCACACACATCCATTGTATTCACACACATTCATTGTATCCACACATCCTTTGTATCCACACACATCCATTGTATCCACACATCCATTGTATCCACACATCCATTGTATCCACACATCCATTGTATCCACACATCCTTTGTATCCACACATTCATTGTATCCACCAACATTCATTGTATCCACACATCCTTTGTATCCACATTTGTTCTGCTCTTTTCCATAGACTTTATTCTTCACCATTTAGGATCAACATTTCTATTTTTAACAGCATAAACATACTTTTTTTTTTAATTTAAACGGCATATCATTAATACAGTTACATCGGATTCTGATACTGGGAACGACATAGAATAGTTTTTTTCAAAATTTGATGGTAGACTCACTGAAATTTCCAGATAAGATATCCTTTACAATAAACTATTTAAATAATAAATTGTCCGTTTATTGCTTATAGTCATATGTATTAAAAGAAAAGATTGTAAAAGTTGCAAAAACTTGTGTTATTTTGTAAATATTAATATGCAATCAAAGATACGTAAATCAAATGTCTCTCCTGCACCTTAATCTTTAACACGTTTATTTGTCGACCGTTGAGCTGGCTAAAAAATATACATGTCACTTAGAAAATGATTTCATTAGAGAAAAAGCTTCGACGATCGGCGCGGATACACGGTGTAAAACCGGGTTCTGTTGTTTGAGAAGCTGTGAAATAGATAGTGGTTTAAACATGTCTTCTATAAGGTCCAACTCGAAATTAACTGATGTGCACGAGTTGTACCAATATGTATTGAAAATATTCTGTCTCTGCACAAAAAGGGATCATTTCGTCGTTCCCGTTTTCGTTAAACAACAATTTGATTCCCGCTACAAGAGCTGGTCACAGTTTTATAGTTTTATGCAATTGGTAATTTGCGATAGATCATTTCGGTACTTTCTTGGAAATAACATCTCAAAATTAAGCCGTCATATCAAAGACGCCTTTTCTCACTCCCTAAATAAAACCTGTACAACGAAATAGAGATCAACCAAGAAATGAAATCAGAGAGCGATTCACCGTGAGTAACACAAGAAACATTGACTCTCCTAATTATAAAAATCAAAGATGGCCTGCCTGATGGCCATGTTGATTTTCCGATTAGTTGCAAAATGTACAAAGTATGTATACAACTAGGGACCAGCATCAATAAGGACGAACGGACCAAGGCAAAATATCCCCACCCACAACTTTGTCGTGAGGTGCATGTATATATCGTAGATCCAGATAAACCTTGATTCAGCAGACAGACAGCCATCAGACAGACAGATATTCTCAACAGGAAATTACATAAATTTACACACTATCTACACATATAATCTGAGCAAATAATTAATCAAAGTCAGGAAGTTTTCATTAATTTCAAAATTATAAACCTATTTATATTTTGGTTTCTTTAATGTAAAATATAATATAATGGTGAATTTTTATGTAGATTGTTACAAATTAAGAAAACAAAACAATTTCTACACATCTTTTTATTTATTAGACACAGTAAGACAAACTAAGTACATAGTGATATTGACAACAGATAAATTAAACAGATCCAGTTCATTCACAACATTGCATAATGACAATAACATGTCTTATAATATTGATACCCAAGAAGTCCTCTCTCTACCCTCTCTATCTCACTCTTTCCCTCTATATCTCACTCTTTCCCTCTCTACCTCACTCTTTCCTTCTCTATCTCACTCTTACCCTCTCTATCGCACTCTTTCCCTCTCTATCTATGTACAAAGCTGAAAAGGTGTATACCAGATGTATCCTGGAAAAAGTGACAGAGGGACAACCAGGCTGCTAATTCTGATTGAGTGCCTTGCTGCCAGACCAAGCTTATTGTTTTCAGGATCTATAAACCAAGCTTGGCAATGATGCTGATCTATCTAGTAAGATAAACAGTCACTGAAATGTTTGTCAGTAATAAGGAACCCAGTTACTTCCATCTTCTGGTAAAAGGATTCCATTGACTAGAAGTATGATGTCAACAATCCACCAGATACCAACACCACCTAGTGTAAGAAGTTTTCCTACAGCTGTACCTACAGAACAAAAGGGAGCAATAATTTTACAAAATGGAAGGGAGTACTCATTTAATAAGTGTATGTATTAATAGAAGTTTTACAAACGTTGTACCTACAGAACAAAAGGGAGCAATCATTTTACAAAACTGAAGGGAGCAATCATTTGATATGTATTAATAGAAGTGTTACAACAGTTGTACCTACAGAACAAAAGGGAGCAATCATTTTACAAAATGAAAGGGAGTATTCATTTAATTAGCGAATATGTTAATAGAAGTTTTACAACAGCTGTACCTACAGAACAAAAGGGAGCAATCATTTTACAAAATGAAAGGGAGCAATCAATTAATAAGTGTATGTATTAATTGAAGTTTTACAACTGCTGTACCTACAGAACAATCAACTCATAGTGATGAAGTTAATGGACCCAATGATTCTTCTACATCAAATACAACATTCCAAATGTTGTTCAATTATATTGTTTTACCACAAGAAATTAAACATCTCATGATTAGTAAAAGATTAATAATATTATCCAAAATATTTTACTTATTTTTCAATGGGTAAGATTTGGCTACATTTTATTTCCTATTTTCTGTATTGCATGATAATGCTTTATAGAGTAAGACTTGAGTGAGAATAAGGGAGTCAGATTATCTTTCAACTACATTTAAATGTATATGCATAACAATCCAATATGATTTTACCAACACTATGTTTTCCGAGTCTGTCATTGATGTATAAACAGATAAAGTTTTGTGGCAGATCAATGCTTGCTAAACATGAAACTTCATGATTATGGCAGTAATTAAACAAAACTGGTGAGAGGCAACAATAGTAATATTGTCGATGTATTACAGTATATACATGTAATTATAGGTCAGAAACACTTGGGAAAAGAATGGAGGTGCAGTTATTTTAAATCTCACTGAACAAGGTATATTACTGCAGCCATATTCTCAACCAAACATAATCATTACTTCAAGAACCTTGATTTCATCATCGTATCTTACACTTCTGTTACTTGTGTCACTTGTCAAATTATATGACCTAATTGTCCCTAAATGTGACCTACCTGTGTGACCCAAACAGAATCTGTCCATTCCTAGAAATCCCAGTAAAACAGAGTAAATCAGGGTTGTAACAAAGTAGTGCCCATTATATCTAGAAAAAAAACATAAAATAGCATAAAGACATTAGCATGAAACAGTAATGTGTATCTTCTCTCCAATTGTATAAAGGTAGTCTCACAAATTTTACACTTTGATTCAAGAATAAACCTGCTGATACAAATTTGGCTCAAGGAGTATTTCAGTCTGAGAAAGAGAACAGAAAAGTACACATTAAATGACCATCATATAGGTCCAATGTGAAGAAGTGAAATTGTATACATGACAGAAGATTACACATTTTTAGCACAAATCCACAAAGGGAGGTAATCTAACCCGTTTAATAATTTGTAACTGAATTACTAATTTGATGTTACTCACCTAAATAATTATCTTATACTAAATGGAACCCATGTCCAAGTCTAACTGTTTAAGCTGTTAGATGTGTGATATTAGCTGCTAAATTAGTTAAACTTAGTGCACACAATTCTGTTTATAACATGAGAAATTACACATATATGCTTACTGCCCCTTGAACATCTAAATTACTTAAAGTTAAAACATAGTTGTTAAGGGAATTAACAGTATTTTACTGTTTCAGATAATATCATGATTAGTTTTGGAAAGACTTTCTTTAATAAATTCAAAATTTCATACAAAGGTAAGAGTTTAATTTTTTTCTTTTCAATATTTTAGCCTTGAGTATACATACATGTACTCTATCTTATATGACCATTAATGCAACATAATCGAGAACAGAAGGCTATGGGAGATTTTGTAATGTGTTAACAGCAAGCTTAACTCACTTTATGCATGGAAATCCTTCTCGTATGAATGTCTTGTTACCAAAGCACTCAATGTCTGGCAGGACATCACACACCACTCCCGTTTTTTGTACGTCTTCATACCTCTCACCTCCGTACTATATACAGAATAACAACACCACAGATTGTCAATGTTAAATATATCATAAAAGATCTACTAATCATCCATGTAACTGAGAAAATTTGATCTATGTAAATGAATTACATGTTATGAACTTCCATATGTTAATTCATCAATTAATATGAGTGCTTCCCCTGTTGGAAAATTTTCTTTTGGTTATCATTTCTCAAGAAACCATAAAACTAACCATAGTCCCAAACTCCAAAAAACTTCTATCAGTCACTACTCTTCTTTCCTCTCAAAAACCCAGGAATTGTAGTAAAAACTCATTTTATGCATGGAAATCCCTCTCGTATGAATGTTTTGTTACTGCAGTTCTTGATGCTGGCTATAGAAATTGTGGGAATTTTAGATGTGAGATGTGACAAGGAAATTTGTGACACCATATGTTTATAAATTAATGTCTTACTCCCTTGACTTTAAGTCATACTGTATCTTGATTCACTAAATCTATAGATGTTATATTATATAATTCCAACAAAATTCCAATGAAATATTCTTGACTGCCTACAAGGGTAAGCATTTTACCTGTGTCAAAAATTATTCGGCCTATCAGAATTCTCCTAGCAAAATGAAAACAAAACCTTTCGAAAACAACTTGTTAGAATAAAATGTAAATAATGTTCTAGGTCACATATTCAAGTGAATGTGAAAGGAATTTATGAACTGGTATTACAATATCCTCTGTGTTATTGCTTAAACTCATACAATCGTTGTAGCCGAATTTGGACTATAATTCCACTGAAGGGTTTTATGAACAGTTGCAGCTGATGCATGACCATAAACTGGTGATTGATCAAAATTTTACTTATCTGTGAGTATGGTCAGTTTTAACACTCTAATTATTGGCCAAAAATGTTAATACATCAGAACACAAAATTTCTAAACGTTCATACAATGTATATAAGATGACAACATTACATAAAGAGAAAATGAAATAACTTTCATTTCCCCCTAAAACTATGTAATATAATAATAAGTTACATGTTACCCCATCACTCACTTTTGTACATCCGTATCCTAATTCTTTCCGTTTGGTTTCATTTCCACCCAAGTCCAGGGGCTCACTGCAGTTGAGAAAGTCCAGAGGTCTAAAGAACAAAAGCAAGTTAATAATGTTTGCTTAGTTGACTGGATGATTCACATGCTCTTTCCCAACAATGTAAAATGTTTAACAGAAAATCAATGTGTCTTAATTTCCTTATATGGTGCAGGTGAAAATAGTGTGAGCCTGAAACAACTTAAATTAAAATTGTAGACAAGTAAGGTATCCATATTTAACAAGTAATTAATATCAAAATAAATCATAATTGGAAGAAGACTTAAATGAAGCATATTGCATGCATTCCCATAACGAAATAAAGGAAATTAAAAATTCTCTACACTGGACAGATTACAATTCTTGTATTGTACATATACGCCAACCGTCAAAACTGGAGCCGTGGTAGGCAAATCACTTTAGATGATAGCATTGAAATGATTGTATGTTTATGCATTACGTATTAATTGATAAAAAAACTTACATAGGTTTATATACCATCATTTACTTACAAGTTTTTGCACATCACCAAAGGTGAAAGTGGGTTGTATTCGCATTCGTCACACGTTACATTTCCCGAAGTTCCTCCAATCGAAATACTAAACCAAACAAAGATAAGAAGTACAAAAATACCACTAGACATCATCTACCAAATGCCTCTTCAAATCATAGCGTTTTCTTAACAATGATTATTTCTTTATTCAATCAGCGTTAGTTGTTTGTGCCATTCTCACAGTTGTTTGTTGATCGTTTCCTGTTCAGCTGTGTCGTAAAGGCGCTTGGTCATATTCAGTGTACAGATTAAACATTTTCATAACAAAGAATTGGAAGTATATACTAATAACAGATCAGCACGTCCTATGTATTCCGGATTAAACGATAATACACAGTTAAATAAGGACTCCGTGAGTTACCGAACCGAATTAATTAAAATGGAAAACATCTTTGAAAAATAAATATCGGTACAACTGACAAATTATATACAGGATGGGAAAACATGCTTATATAAATTCCTCTCCAAAGTACATAAAATGCAATTGGAACTGGAAACACCAAGCTTATTTCAATGGAATAAATAATAATAAAGTTTACCAATTAACTTAAAGTATACATGATTCGTTATACCCTGACCTGCTGTTATGCATTATCTAATTTTCATTATTTTTAAGATGAACTTTTTTCACATTCTAAATAAATTGAAAGTACAGAAAAATTGACCATAAAATCTAATGTTTGAGAGTCTAAATTTGTTTGTTTAGCAATAAGACAAATATTGATTGTGAAAATAACGCCAAAAAGTTATATTAGATGTAGAGAACAATTAGGAACGGAGAACAATACTTGAAATGGTATCATGAAACATTTATATCCCTCAAAATATTTAAAGGTCAAAGATATATACAGTGGTAAATATTGTCTTAGGTTTAAGATATTTTTTATTAGAAGTAAACTGTTAATAAGTATTTAAATATTTGGTGTATTTAAGACGCAGCTGTGTTTAAGACATTACATATATATATATATTTGTATTCTAATATTGGCCAAGGAACGTATGATACAGCAATCGTGGTAACACACTGTGTGTTGGGAAACTGTTTTAGTAACTGACATGGGATTCACCAGTTCAATAGTAGAAATATTAGATTCGAGGAAAACAAATCAGTGAATGAAAACGAAACAAAATTTAAAAAGATAAATAACAAGGGTTAACGTTAAACTTCGAACCCCCAGCCATAACCAAGTTCCTTGTAAATTTAAACTCACAGTACATAATCAGATAACTTATACTAATCTGCTAGTAGCTTGATAAGAAATAGCCTTATAAAATTCTGGAGTAGCTCATGATGTGGCGTTACAAACATACTGGTGGCGACGAACAGAGGACATGTGTTTGGAATTGGACAGCAAGTATTTCGGTATGTAAACCTTGTACAATGTCCCCGTGTGGTCAGATCATCTAATTTACTCAATACATGTCACCAAGGTCACTAAAATGAAAATTAGTAGTATTATATAAAAAAAATTCAATAATATTCATTTTTGTGTTTCGTTTTTTTTCCTTTTCTTCCTTTTTTCCTCTATAAATTCTGATCCAAAGATATACACATAGTATGAATTGTTTAAACCAGTCAACTTACTCAATAGTTAGCCCGTAACGGGAAAAATCGCAACAGGAGTATTAATTAGTTTGTGTCATGATTGTTACCTTCTGTTTTATAACAGGGAAAATGTCAAGTTTGTCGAACTTTTAGAGATATCTATAAGGACTTCTAGAATGTCAACAGAGTAAGAAAAATAAAATTTAAAAACAATGGACTATTGATAGGCTTAAAATCAATTAAACTTCGACGTGCAACTAATAAAATGATTATTGTTTAATGCATTCCAGTATGTATAGGAGCTGATTCTTCTCCGAACAATCGTTGGTCACACTAAACCTTTATGAGTTATTCGAAATTAATCTGGATTTGTCCAGTTTCGTGTAGAGATTGAAAATGTACAGCGTAAATATCCTAGCTAATTTGGTTATAGCTACATGTAATACGAACAACTTTCAGGAAAAAGACATACAGCTGTACTGTATCTATCAGGAGGAAAAGCTGACTTAGGATTTCTTGAAATAAATACATGATAAAGTAATATAAGAAATAAATCCTTACAAAAATCAAAACAAAACCAAAGGTCAATGACTGTATTATGGCGTGGATGGATCAACGTACCTTTTCCTATCACGCCTTTCTCTGTGTTTCCGGTTTTGCTACCGAACCTAGATACTTTTTAGTTACGTTAAAATCTCCGTGTTGATTTTGTTAATGGTTTGTGCTGCGATTACCCGTCACATAGTTATAAAGACTGATGTCACACATTCTCTCGACACCTCTCTAGGGGAGATGGCGTTCGCCAGAACATTAAAAGTGACTGAATACCGAGGAAATATATATATATATGTGTGTGTGTGTGTGTGTGTGTGTGTGTGTGTGTGTGTGTGTGTGTGAGAAGATGTCAACTTGCATCAATTTACAACTGTAAATACAGGAAAAAACATTTTCAAAAAATTCTGAAAGATTAGATGTTCTGACAGATTGTGATATTGACCAACACAAAATAAAATCGCGGACAGAAAATGAAAACCTTTCGGGCTAGATAAACATCTTATAATACATACATCATACACAGGTATACATGCCTGATACATGGTTATATATAATTCCTTAAGCAATATGCGGTACTTGAGAAGTCAGTGTCAAAGGCAAGCAAACATTGCATAAAAGGAAAATCACTGGATTTCCTTAATTGTATCTTATTTTTTTCGGGCAGAAACCGGAAACACATACATTTTATTTTTTTGGCCTCATTAAGATGGAATCTGACGCGACCTGTTTTCCAAGGCCAATGACACTGCCCTGAAGACATAAATAAACGTATTTGTTTGCATTTGTATAGCCCGATAATGCACCACCGATTGACAGATCAAAAGGACTGTCTTATTCCTGCCATGCTTGTTCAGATGGTTTTCATTGATGTACAGTATTTAGGATACGCTATTTATACGGTGACCTAGTTATTATTGGTTGGTGGTATTGAATGGACTGTCGATCCTTCAAATTCACCTCTTTGAATGGTAAAGTCAGAAAGCTGCTTGTATGGAATCGACTGGGTATATTTGAATAGCTATTTCCACGCTTTGTCTCTGAAGCCAATTTTGTCCTTCGCTTTACAATGGGTCTTCTTATTGATTGTTGTTTTTATTTTGAAGAAAAGGAGGAATTTAATATTGACAACAAATCGATTTCTCTTCACCAAATACTTGGTATGTGTTCAGAGCTTCCCGGATAACGGTAGGTTAATTAATCCGAACTAAACAGATATATCGGTACTTTTTGCTCAGTGAAATTTCTAATTACACTTAATTCCTAATGAAAAACCTTTAAAACGGCGGAAAAAAATCGGACAACTACATGTTCTAGATATACATGTATCTATCAGGCATCGATACCAAGTTATGATACAGCAATTATCGCGTTTTACAGTATCAATAGAAACAACAAGAATGTAATGCTCAAAGCACCATACAGGGCTCATAGTTTGTAAGCGAACCAATACGGAATATTGAATACGCATTCGGTACTCACACACGTACACGTACACTTCCAGCGCGCCGGAATCCAGATTTATGAGTACCAATTGTACATAAAACGAATCCTACATTCGTATATTGACCGCGATTCTGACTTTCGCGTGTCTACATATCAGATACACTGATTTACTAGACATAGACTGATGCTATTGATGCTAGGCTGAAATCTTTCCAGCTGGACATGCCGTTTACATTCACGGACGATTTGATGTATGGCAAGTTTAAGGTGACAGACACCTACAACAGTGTATTTTTGTTTCTATAAATATGTTTAAAGCAATTAACCTGTCAATTCGTTTCTATTTACAGCATTGATAATTAGAAATTAATTCTTAGATTAAAAAAGTAAACTCTTACAAATGTAGAATATTTATGTCTTTTTCACCAACGGAAACCTTGAGTTATATAGATAAGAGATGACTACACGTGCATGTGGGTAACCCTTACAGGAAGCTGTTGGATTATCCGATGTCTTCTGTAAAGAGGACGTTGAAACGTTGATCTTATCCGATGTCTTCTGTAAAGAGGACGTTGAAACGTTGATCTCATCTGACCCTGGCAACGACGCAAAACCAATCATATAAACTTCCTTAAGAAATATTTATCCTCTTTTGAGATTACAATATGGACTGAAGGACACCGGAAAACGTCTTCTGTATATTTTAGAACTCAAGAATTTCGGAAAAAGAGCCAACATACGAAACTTGGATATATTTCAATGATTAACTGTACACTAGAGAAAAAAATCCGAACTAAATTGAAACGGTCTCATTTCCAGTTCCATAATACTAGTAATGCTGATGACTGGGGATACTAGAAACTGATAACTTCAATCTCACTGAAAATAGTTACATATATGTGCCATATCGATAGTGATCGACAGCGCCCGTGTGTCTTTAAGATCAATGTTACTATGATATACTATCTGTGTTCCGTACGCCACTGAATGACCTGTAAATGGGTTTGCTTAAGTGTCTCAATGTCATTTTACGTATTTCAATAAATCAATGATTTATTAATATGAAATGGGTAAAAATTGCTTGACCACACAAAGACATTGTATTGATCAGAACTCTGACGTAGGGAATTTGGTGTCGGCGGATATGGTGTTGGTTATTTAAATCAGGCGCTGTCTGGAGGTATTTATAGTACTCTTAGATAAATAAGTCCGCTGTATACAATGAGGTATTCGAGGTCTCCACCAGAATCCTTCTTTATTACACCAAGGAATTGGCGATAACAGCGAACGAGTTAAAGCGACAAGATGCTTACAAAACTATCGCGACATTTTGTAGAAAGCTTAAGAAACTACCACTGCCTTACCTACACTGTTTGTTAACAATCTGCTGGCATTGCTTATCATTTGTTGTGATCACGTAAATTAAATGATTAAACTAACCTCTGAGCCCCAAATCATACGGAATCACGCGGCCCTTCTTATCTTCACGCAAACATACAAATTCTTAAGACTTATACATGTATCAGCTTAAATACATGTGATATGATGAGTCAATACGAGATGAAAAAGTGCCACTGTAGCCAACCAGACAAGCAAGACGTACCGCAATCAGGCAGAAACCAATGATTCCAAACAGGTAGAACTGATTGCA